TCCCAGGTCTAATAGTTAATTGGGCATCCACAGTTTCCCCCTTTTCTGGGGCTGAAAGCGACCTTAGAAAAAGGGGTGGTGGCAGAAACTATTAGACAGGGAAGCACCGCAAAGCTTGTGTGCAGCAGTGGCGCCAAGAAGGGAGGGGGAGACTCTCATGAGCACCCCCGCTTTTCTAAAATAATCAGCTGCAGTTAGCTAAATAATCTCCAGCAAAATTACTATTCTGTGTGATGTCACAAGCAGACCTAAAATATCCCTGTCACTTGCGTAGAGCAGCTTAAGGAGATTAGGAAACTACTGTTTTAATAATGAACTCAAATGCATTTAACTTTGATAAACATTTTGGTTAGTACTTTCACTGACCTCATCTGCACATAACCCTAAGCCAATTCATGGCTTAGCATGAACGTGCAAATGTGAAGGCTCCTAATGAGAAGGTTGAAACTGCTTTGCTCCTGCTCCAGTCGTTCTGCTGAGCCATGGTTTGACTTAGTGTGCCTTCCAAACCCAAGGCCCTGGTTTAGCTCTCCAAGACAAACCATGCAGCCAAGATTCACCTCATAGTTTTTCCAGCTTGTGGTTTGCCTGGTAGATCTAAACCACAAGCCTGGGTTTGGAAGACACACTAAGCCAAACCACTGCTTAGCTCAACACAGCACATCAGCAGAATGACAGAAAGGGGAGCGAAGCATGTGTGATCTCTCTGGGAGCCCGCAAGTTTGCTCATTCATGGTTTGACTTAGCATTACGCATGAAATGGGTCACTGTGAAGCTGGACAAAAAAAAAATCCCACTCTTCCCATATCCTTCTCTCATCTTGGACCCATATCTGTAGATTCAATGGGTCAATCAAACAGCATATTTAACTCCACTAAATTTTGGATAACAATCCCAATGTCTTTTTAGCGGACGGTGCAAAAATTGAACAAACATAGCTTTCATCTTTGCAAAAAATGAGTAGCGTTTCCCTCTTTTCTCCCTAACTATCCAAGTATATTTTCATCAGCTACACACATGATTGGAAGGGCTTGGAACGTCTTAGTAGCACACCACATTTCCAACACTTGCCAAACTTCAAACTAATTATACATTACATTTCTCTGAAAAATGTCAAAATATGCAACTACAATGCTGGTATCATCTTTGATCCCTACCTCTGATACGCCTACATGCTTCAGACTTCCAGATCATGATAAGACTCATGTGTAAGGGCCACGCAGGCTGAACGAACTCTGGATCATCCAGAAGAAACTTGGAGAAACTGGTCTTAAAATTTTGTATATCATGACCATGTTTCAGATTTCAAAAGATTTCTGTGTTCATTTGCTTCATTAATGCAGGATTTGAGACTAGTATTTTCTGTAAAATAGTCTTTTCATCTATCTTATGCTGTTCATTGTCATGGCTTGTATGGAGATTGGTAGCAAAATGGCACATACTGTATTTTCCTTTCAATAGGGATCTGTTTAGATTTTGGTGGTCTCCATAAAACAAGTTTACTTATTTAACTTGGAGAGGAGAAGGAGACAAAAAATAGTTTGCCTGTGCCTGTAGTTGACTCAAACATGCAAAAGTCTGTAATTGCCTACAGCGTCTACACAAACATCTCGTTATTCCTTTTGAGTCAATGATCCCTTTTGTTTAGTGAAGGTTCATGCAACAGTTACATTCTAATTATGATCCATTATGACTAATTAAATATTGAAAATTAGATGAAACTTACATAAATTATCAAGTGCTGTCCTGCAACAACACAGAAGGGTGGCACCAATAGAGCAGAACCATGAGAAAAATCAAAATGGTCCAAACCAATATTTATGGAGGAATCTCAATGCATTTTTGTTCTTTAGCTATTCCCCAAGGGAATATTTTTTTCCTACAAAGATGACCCTATTGTCTGGTCTTGGAGACTCTTAAGAAAAGAGTTTATTTTTTAGTGTTCACATGCCAAGGAAGCAAATCTGTCTTTGCACAAATATTACTTTCCTGAGATGGAACTGAAGGTTTGAAATGTGTCAGGATCCTTTCATACATTGGTTACACCCTTTTTAGATTTTGTCCAAACATTGTCCTCAGTAAGATGCCAGAAAGCCCTCCTGGAAGTCAAGCAGGAAGAATGTACGCTGTTAGGAAGCAGGAAGAAATTACCAGATTCTTATTCTAATGTGTGATGAACGGATACAGAGTTTTCAGACCCTTGCCCTTTTGTTTTGTCTTTAATGGGCTGCTTCAAAAGGTCCTCTACAATTCAGCGAATTGTTTCTTTTACTAAAAGAGTTTTCAGTCCAATCTGCAGCCTGGTACCACAATCTGAAACACACAGTGCTGCCACCCAGAGAGCCTGGGCTCAGAGGCATCCCTTATTTCCCCCCCTGAGAAATAAGTCTTTGGTATGCATGGAAGAGAATGCCAGTATCTGGGCTTCCCAGAAAGGTGGAAAACCTCTGCCCATATGGTCCAGATCACAACCATTTCAAGCAAGTAAGAGATAGATTTCTACATGTTGCAGCCACCACATGAAATACACTGTTTTCCATTCTACCATCTTTTGAACTCTACAACAGTATATTTCATACTGTTCACGGGGAAAACTACACCAAATGCTGCACTACGTTAAAAGACAGAGAGAGAGAGAGAGAGAGAGAGAGAGAGAGAGAGCGCAAACTCTACCAGAACCTTTCTACCTGATGGCCTAGTTCAGTTGTCATTTATTTTCAACTAGTTTTTCTTTTCTTTTTGAAAGCTTTGATAGTTTTTAAAATGCATCCCCATCACAGTCTGAACTAGTGCTGTCCTCCTCACCACCTCATTCTGCTGACCCCCACTGCTCCATGTGAAGGCTGTTTACTAAGAGCAAACCCCACAGATCAGGCGATTTTTCACAAAACCATCACAAACACCTTTTAAAAGAGTAGATCTGATGCATGCGAGCATAATGGCTGTTTGGCTATTTATTTTTTTATACCTCTTAATGTATTAAAAGATATATCTCTCTAAGCTATGCACAAGAAACGAAAGCAACAACAGACAACTTAAAAATACGGTGGTACCTCGGTTTTTGAATGTCTCAGAAGTCGAATGTTTCAGTTTTCGAATGCCAAAAACCCGGAAGTAAATGCTTCCATTTTCGAATGCGCCTCAGAAGTCAATTCTGGGTGTGTTTTTTTCAATTTTTCTCACTTAAATTTGCAGACCGCCATTTGCACCTCGGTTTTCGAACGTTTTGGAACTCGAACAGTCTTCCGGAATGGATTACGTTCGAAAACCGTGGTACCACTGTATTACAAAACACAAGTTACATATAGGTAAACAGTTATATATACAGACACAGTTACATTAATACAAAGCTTCTAATATATAAACAGGATTATCAGTTCATTTTCCTTCTGACACACCTTCTCTCTCAGCCTCCAGATTATCGCCCAGAGTCCAAAAAAACTCAGTTTACCCTTCATGTGTCCCATTCAGCTACACTCAGTTCTAGAAGCAGCGGATTTGTTGAGTTTCCCAAGTGGTTCAAAGAACGCGAAAAGGGGGGCCCCTCCACTCACAGCTCTTCCTTCACCCTCTGTCATCTCCTCCTCCTCCATCTTCTTCCATACACCATGTAGTAACAGCAACCATAAAGGTAAAGGGTAAAGGGACCCCTGACCATTAGGTCCAGTCGTGACTGACTCTGGGGTTGCGGCGCTCATCTCGCTTTATTGGCCGACGGAGCCAGCGTACAGCTTCCGGGTCATGTGGCCAGCATGACTAAGCCGCTTCTGGCGAACCAGAGCAGCACACGGAAATGCCAATTACCTTCCCGCTGGAGCGGTACCTATTTATCTACTTGCACTTTGATGTGCTTTCGAACTGCTGGGTTGGCAGGAGCAGGGACCGAGCAACGGGAGCTCACCCCGTTGCGGGGATTCGAACCACCGACCTTCTGATTGGCAAGTCCTAGGCTCTGTGGTTTAACCCACAGCGCCACCCGTGTCCAACAGCAACCATACACAGACATTTAAAATGTCATCTACAAAGTGGCTGTAACATGCCAGCCAGTCGCACTAGAATTACTTTCACCTTATGTTTTTAGTATGAGGCTTCAAACAGGTGGCCATATGAAACTGCCTTGTTCTGAGTTCAGCGTATTGTCTGCTGCACTGGCGTGCCTCTCCAGGGTCTCGGACAAAGGATGCTTTCCTACCTGTCCTGCCAGTGCCAGGGATGAAACCTGGGACCTTTCGCATGCGAAGCACGTGCTTTAGTACTGACACTTTCACGTTGCACTTCACTAGCATATGACAGGCATAGTCTTTGTTTCTAACAAGCTTTGATGGTATTAAGGAATTAGCTTTCAAATTGCAATATTGGGAACTAAAAGCACAAAAAAGCATACCCCCAAATTTGGAATAACTAGGCATCAGGTCACTAAAGAAAATGCACCAAATCTCAAAGTTGGTAAGGTTCCAAGGAAATTCATATTGCACGAGGCACGTCCAACAGGTAGATCGTGATCTACTGGTAGATCACTGGACGTCTCTGGTAGATTCACTGGTAGATCACTGGCTCCCCCCCCCCAAAAAAGAGCCCAAGAACTCTGGCTCCCCTAAAAAAAGCTCAGCAACTTTGATCTGAACCCCTAAAAAACGGGGGTAGATCACTGCCAGTTTTTAACTCTGCGTAGATCACAGTCTCCTTGGGAGTTGGCCACCCCTGGCATATGAGAAACAATAAACCCATTAAAAGAGTTACATAGATTGATTTCAATGCCCTGCAGTGTGATTAGGTTTTGTTTGTTTTGCCTTGCGAAATGAAGAGGACCCTGAGACCAAAGGCAGCTTTCTTTTCCCCAGGCTTCTTATTACCCTCAGTATTTGGGATGCAGCTGTCAGTGAGGAAGACTTGTTCTTTTAACTGAGTCGTTTGTTGCTTGTCTCTTTCTTCTGCTTGTTCCATCTGTCAGGCCATCTGCCTCCCAATGACCCTGGACTGCTTTCCATTCTGTATTACAGGTCCACACGTTCCGAGGTCCACATTGGTGTGAATACTGTGCCAACTTCATGTGGGGACTCATTGCTCAGGGGTCAGATGCTCAGGTAATCTTAAAAATCTTATTGACCAGGCCCTTAACCCCTGAAAAACAAAACTAAATCTCTTTCAAGGGACGATGCAGAGTGTCAATGCCCTCCCAAATTAGACAAAGCATTCTACAGTTTAATAATCTTCTAGAGCAATACACACACACACACACACACACACACACTTGATGATGATGATGATGATGATGATAGTAACTGGTTTAAAGTGGATGTCTCCATTTCACTCAATGAAGTCAACAACTGGTGTCTCTATTTTTTTCTTTAATGAAGTTCAAAACTGGGAAAGAGTGGAACTTTTGCTATGGGAGATCCTGGCTAAAATTTGAATTCCAAGCTTAAAATATATGAGTAACTATTGAGCCTTTTGGGGGATTATAATGGACCTGATAATCCGGCAACTAAACTGCTCAACTGGACTGGACTGGACACCATTTCTAACCTCATGGACCTATGGTTAATGGGCACTAGTCATATTGCTGTTATTGGTTGTTGGCATTTAATATATGTTAGCTACCAATTGCCAACAGTGTTGTTAACTGTCCAGAAGAATTTAACAGTGTACGTTCTGAGCCTTTAACAGAGATTTGATATAAAGAAATAGGTAATCATAGCTTTCATGTGATGAAGTCAAAAAAAATATTGCCTGCTGATTCATGGGTTAGGCACCTCTGGTCCTGCAGATATTGTGGGGACTGCAACTCCTGTCCCTCTTGACTAATGGACATATTGTCGGGGGTTGATGAAGCTTGATAGACAGCCACGGCTGAATTAGCTGGTGTAGTTCTATGAATGTGCGACCCAGAAAATAGGCGCAGTTGCAATTTAACATGGCAGAGGGTAAGGTGAGTTAGGTGGGGAAGATCTGTTATGCCCCAGAGCTCTTCGGTTTGTGGTGGGGACATCATAGTGCCATTTTATATTACGGTGCCTAAAGCTGGTTTCTTTTCTCGGTCAACCATACACAATATAATTATATGACTTAAATGACTGCTCCTTGGTATTTTCTTGTCAGTTGTCATACTTAAGCAGGTATGGGCTCTTGCCAACAACACTGTAACTTGACTCCCAACTCCCATCAGCCCCAGCCAGCATGTCCAATCGTTTTAGCCCCTATAAAGAGCTATACACAGGTCTCTGTGGCTGAGATGTCCATGCTAAACACAGGAGACCTGTGTGACTTCAGGGTCACTGCCAATCCCTTTAACCTCGCAGACTCCCTTTGCACAAGTAACACAAGAGGTCGAGTCGACATATAACTAATTATTCTTATAAGAACTGTACGTTTAAACATAATATGTCTGGCTGGATTTGTGTTCATTCTCTTTAAGTATTTAACCTGTGAAAAAAAGTATGTTTATTTAGTCCAAAGATTAACGTTCTGCTTCATTGGGTTACCAATATTTAACTCTAAGCAGACAAACAAGTTTTTAACTACACAGGAAATGTTTAGCAAGAACTAAAAAAAAACCTAAAGGGAGTATCTTAAGTACAGCTGGCTGGGTTTGTTTAGATTTCACTGAACAATACTGTATTATGCAGTTAGTTTCTGTCCGAACGAGCCCAATAAACCAAACAGATTTAGTTAAAGGCACAGAGGTCCTTTACCTGTGGGTATCAAATATTACAAGGAAAGAAACTGTTCATGTTTAGCAGTGGAGTCAAGAATACTTTATGTTGATGGCTGAAAGGGATAGTGATGATTCTGAATCACACTGTGTACTTGTGAGAGTTAATTTTTATAAGAAGTGCAGAAGTCTAAGCCTGCCCAGAATCCCTAATCTCGGTGTTTGAAGCCCTGCTTAATGAATGAGGCAAGCTCTGGGTTAGTCATTTGTACGGGTAGTTGACTCTGCACATGCATAGAGACACACATTTATTATTACTTCACGTGTTCCAATGAAAGAGCAATAAATCCAGTTTTCTAGCAAATGAGTACAAAGGTTATCTAATAAACGACAAGCATATATTTTAAACACGTATTCATTTTTTTACTGTTCTCAAGCTTCCCCAAACTAGCGCTTAATGCCAGCCAGATGTTGCGGACTACAGCGCCTGTCAGTCCAGCATGACCAATGGGTCAGGGATGATGGTCAGATGAGAGTACATCTGGAGGGCTCTGGCATGGGGTTAGCCCTTCCCTACCCAGATACAAGAGAAGGCTTATTTTCTCTTGGCTAGAATAGCTGGTTTCTTTGAAGCCCAATTGCACACAGGGAGATGGAGTTGGCAGCCCCCCTCTCCTAGAACATCACTCCACCTCTGTTGCAACTAGGCTTCCGTTAGGGGCCATGGGGCAGAAACTACACTTTGGCTGCAATCTAGGAGTAAGTCCCACTGGTATATGCGGGGGGTGCTGTGGCCTAAACCACTGAGCCTCTTGGGCTTGCCGATCAGAAGGTTGGCTGTTCAGAAGGTTGGTGAGCTCCCGTTGCTCTGTCCCAGCTCCTGCCAACCTAGCATTTCAAAAGCACGCCAGTGCAAGTAGATAAATAGGTACCACTGTGGCAGGAAGGTAAATGGCGTTTCCATGCGCTCTGGCTTCCGTCACAGTGTCCCGTTGCACCAGAAGCGGTTTAGTCATGCTAGCCACATGACCCGGAAAGCTGTCTGTGGGCAAATGCCGGCTCCCTCAGCCTGAAAGCGAGATGAGCGCCACAACCCCATAGTCGCCTTTGACTGGACTTAACCATCCAGGCATCCTTTACCTTTTTTATCTAAGTCCCACTGAACTCAGTGGAGCTCAATTCTGAGGAGACACATATAAAATTTTACTATAAATGTAACATTTACCACCTGGATGGGCCTGGATTTCTTGAAGAGCTCCTGTATCCATTACAGTATATATATATCCAGTTTCCGAGCACAATTCAAAGTTTTGGTGCTGACCTTTAAAGCTCTAAACGGCCTCAGTCCAGTATACCTGAAGGAGCGTCTCCACCCCCATCGTTCAGCCCGGACACTGAGATCCAGCGCCGAGGGCCTTCTGGCGGTTCCCTCATTGTGAGAAGTAAGGTTACAGGGAACCAGGCAGAGGGCCTTCTCGGTAGTGGCGCCTGCCCTGTGGAACGCCCTCCCAGCAGATGTCAAAGCAATAAACAACTATTTTACTTTTAAAAGTCATCTGAAGCCAGCCCTCTTTAGGGAAGTTTTTAATGTTTGATGCTGTACTGTTTTTAATATTCAGTTGGAAGCCGCCCAGAGTGGCTGGGGAAACCCAGCCAGATGGGCGGGGTATAAATAATAAATTATTATTATTATTATTATTATTATTATTATTATTATTATTATTACAGTCTTGGTCCTTAAAATTTGTTTTAATTTGTTGGAAGCTGCCCAGAGTGGCTGGGACAACCTAGTCAGATGGACAGCATACACATAATTTATTGTTGTTGTTGTTACAGTTACCTGTCTTTATTTCAGTTAGCACTGAAATGATCTGAACATCTTGTCAACCCATTTCAAATATATGGGTTATATATTTGTGCCACAGGCACTTGGAAGCATTTCCCACATTCTCCACATGGTGGCCAAAAATTTTTGTTTCAGCCTTAACAGTTGCTCATATGTGCTTCATGTACCTGCTACATTACTAGAGAATTAGAGTAAAATTCAAATGTTATATTACATAGGGCTGCCATACATCTGGGATTCATTCATCAGAACGTAATTCTCAAAAATTGGTTAAAATTTCTGGGGAAACCGAGCCATATGGCAACCCATATCAGAAGCTCAACAACTTTTGTGTCCGGATGTTCACTTTTTGAAATATGGCAACCCTATACTCATAGAATTTCATTCCTTCGCATATTTTTGCCTGCCAACCTTTGTTATATTTACAAATTGAACTATTGCCCTGTAATTTACTGTGTGCGGTGACTTCCTTAAAAGTAAGAGTAATTGAGAGCTAAGATGTTCACATGTAGAATGTTGTCATTCTTTCTGAGAGTAAAATAGAAAAAACTCAAAGTAACACTAATACTTTCTTTACAGACTGTGGATTGAACGTACACAAACAGTGTTCAAAATACGTCCCCAATGACTGCCAACCAGACCTCAAGAGAATCAAACGAGTCTACTGCTGTGACCTCACCACACTAGTGAAGGCCCACAATTCACAGAGACCCATGGTAGTGGACATATGTATTCGAGAAATCGAAGCAAGAGGTATTTACGTGTTGATGAAATAGGATTTCCTTCACTGGGTTACTGAAACGCTAATATAATATCACTGGTTGACAAACATAAACAGATATTATGTTACAGAAAACTAAGTAATTTTAAATTACTTTATATTTAAAAGTTTCTTTATATTCCTTTGTGGGGAAAAGTTTTATGAACAAATTGTTTAAAGCATTTACTTTGAAGAACAACTTAACCTCATTTGGTTGAGGAAGCGAATTATAGTTCTCTACTACCACCACACAAACAATGTGCATTGTTTTAATTATTTAATATACTTAGCTATATTTTTCAATGTAAAAAACTATGCCCCCTCACATTTAATTTTTCCAGTAAATATTGCACTTTCCGATTAAAACTGTTGGGAGCCATAGTAAAATCCAATTGCTTTCAAAATGATAACCAAGCCTATGTCGCAGAAACTGATGTGAAATGAACAAATGCATGTTAAGATATTAATGCAAAATAAACTCTTAGCCTATAAATAATAGAAGAAAATACTTATAGAAGGCTTCAATAGGGAGAGATATAAATTCAATCAATCAATCAATGAATGTGTATATCATAAATCAAACCTAGAACTGTTATAGGAAATTTAAATCTCTTGATTGTGCCACCGGGGTTGTGTCCAATTAAGTTCTACGCAGTGTAAAACGGACAGGAATATATTTAATTAAGTTAATAGGCCAAAGTTAGTCATTTCCAGTTAACCCACATTGTCTTAGTAGCTGAGTGAGTTTAGATATTAGAAGACAATGGTATGGAGCCAGTGCCAGATTTACGTACGTATAAGCTAAACAAGCTATAGCTTAGGGCCCCACTCTCTTGGGGCCCCAAAAAAATTTTGAAGGGAAAAAAGCTGGATGTACATTTCCAAAATATAAGATAAGAAACAAATAAAATAAAACCTACATACAGCAACAGTGTTTTGTGTTGTGTAGGCTCCTATGATGTAAGTAATAGGCCCCACCTGCTAGCCTGCTCCCTAAAATATCACTAGTTTGCTCATTTCTATATATAGGGTGCCTGCATTCTGCATGTGCAAATGGTTTTAGATACCCATTAGGTCCATAAATTACCATATAGCATATATTCAACACAAAAAACAGCGACAATTTGTTGTTGACAAAGGACAGCTGGGCATATAAAGGGCCCCGTTACCTTCAGTAGCTTAGGGCCTCATCAAACCTAAATCCGGCCCTGTGTGGATTCCAAGAGAAGTGAAATTTAGGAATTTTACAGCAGTTTTTGATGCCCTCTTCCCACCTGAAGCCGCCTGCGCCCCCATCCCCAAGTATCCACCCTTCTGGACAATGTGGGATGTGGCATCTGAGGCTGCTGGAAGAGGAGCGTTGAAGTTCAGAGAATGAAAGAGCCGCCTTTTGGAGGATTTCAGATGGCTGCAGGGACAAGGAGAGGATGGGAAACTTCCATGCACTTCCTCAAATTGATTTCCGCTACAATCCAAGCCATTAGCTTAAATTAAGTCATCATCCTTACGTGGGAAAGGTCATACAGCTCAGTAAGAGAACTAATGGTTTGCATGCAGAAGACCCTGTATTAAATTCCTGTTTTTAAAAAAGAGAAAAGGCTAGCAAGCCTTGGAAGGCTCTCTGCCTGAGACCTTGGAGAGCAGTTGCTAGGATAGAAGGTTCAAGACCCTTCCATGGTCATATTCATCACTCTACTTCCTTGCAACGCTCAGTTGTTACAAGATGAATTGTACCCTTGTGCTTAAATAGTGTCAGCCTCCCTTTCCAACATAGTGCTTTCAAGTTATCTGTTATAGATCCTCAAACCGATCCTCCAGTTTTCTCCCCTACACATGGTGTGTGAAAAAAACCCTCATTCTTTAAAAGCTGATGATTGCTGTTATGGGCCTAAAGGGGGCATAACTAACCAACTGTGAGAGCTCTGTCAAAAGATGGCTATATGATGAGTAATTTCTCTTGTTCCGAGAATTCGGGAGGCAGAAGCTAACTTGTGAAAAGAAGTAAAAAATAACTGGAGTGTGAAAATGTATCCCTAGACTAAACAGCAGCTGATGAAATTTTTGCCTGCAGGTTTGAAGTCAGAAGGGATTTACAGAGTCTCGGGGTTCACTGAACACATTGAAGATGTCAAAATGGCCTTTGATCGAGGTACAGTACATTTTAGCTGTGGAAAGCCTGTCGGCAATGTTTTAGCTTTGGAAAGCTTCTACATACCCTGTGTTCATTGGCGTTGCACATGTTTTGATGGTGTAATAATGAGGAGGCCGTTTTCCGCCCACAGTACTTTCGGGGTATTTTATGATGTACTGGTTTCTATTGACATTTATCACGTATGTTAAAACATGTATTGGGGTGAGTAGGAAGATGCACAGCGTCTCAAAATAAATAAAATAATAATAATAATAATAATAATAATAATAATAATAATAATAAATAATTTTATTTATATCCCGCCCTCCCCAGCCGAAGCCGGGCTCAGGGCGGCTAACAACAATAAAATAGTACAACATTCTAAAAACATTTCATTATAAAAATTAATTAAAATCAAATTGATGGCAACCATTAAGCTAAAATTTTGTGAAGATTGCCAAAGGAGGGAGTCAGGCTGCACCCTGACCAAAGGCCTGGTGGAACAGCTCTGTCTTGCAGGCCCTGCAGAAAGATGTCAAGTCCAGATTGGAGCCGCAGCCGAAAAAGCCCTGGCTCTAGTTGAGGCCAGCCTAACCTCTCTGTGGCCTGGGACCTTCAGGATGTTTTTATTTGAAGACCGTAAGTTCCTCTGTGGGACATACCAGGAGAGGCGGTCCCGTAGGTACGAGGGTCCTAGGCCGTATAGGGCTTTAAAGGTTAAAACCAACACCTTAAACCTGATCCTGTACTCCACTGGTAGCCAGTGCAGCTGGTATAGCACCGGGTGAATGTGATCTCACAGTGAAGACCCCGTAAGGAGTCTCGCCGCGGCATTCTGCACCCGCTCGAGTTTCTGGGTCAGTCTCAAGGGCAGCCCCACGTAGAGCGAGTTACAAAACACACCTATTTGAACTGCTTCGTTTCAGGAAGGACTACACCACATTCTGTTTCTGCATATTAAATTCTGCCCCACCATCTCTAAAATAATGAGGGTCTAAATTACATTATCACTATACTATAAGGACAGTTGAGCTTTAGAGTAAAAATCAGGTCAGTATATTTGTGACTGTTAATTCCACTGAGTAAGCTTGATAGGAATAATGTTTATTTATTCTTCCACGGAATGAATATGGATGCTGTACAGCAACAGTCGCTCACTGTGCTGGCATTGTTGACCAGTTCTGTTCCTGCTAGCATATAAAACATTCATTGTACAGCTTGTTCATAGAGTTCTCATTGTGACAAGTGCATTCTGAGCTTTAGTTGGTTGTTTGTCCTGCTTGGCACCACACATCTCATATTTGAGGGTTGTTACTAAAGAAGGATCTACATCACTATTTTTTTCTGCTTTATTTGGTTTTTTTGCAAAGAGGCATTAGCCTCATTGGCACTAATGGGAACTTTTTTACTAAGCCTCATGGGCACATGAGGGGATTGATATTCAGGGAGACATGGCTAGCGACTGAAGAGATAAACCTCATCCCCTCTTTTGTTCTGCCCTTCATAACTGCAATTAACTTAAGAGAAATAAGAGTTGTAATACATGTTATGTGTTATGTAGTGTAGTTTCACCCTGGGCCAACAGGGGGATACTGTATATAGTTTTCACTCAGGTCTGTAGATAGTTTTCACTCAGGTCCGCGGCAGTTATTTTAGGCGGGAACTCTGGGCTGTTGTGGTTACAATGTTGACAGCCGGCTGCCTATAAATACAGGCCGGCTGAGCTGTCGCAGTTAGTTGTATTCCAGCTTACCATAATAAAGAGCTACTTGAAGAAATCGCTGTGCCGGCTGTTATGTCAACCCACGACTTAACACTGGCGACGAAGGTGGGATTGATGGACATCAGAGCACAGCCAGATGCGGCCAGCCTCTGAACTGAGCTGAATCACTGAGCTGAATCACAGAGCGAAATCACTGAGCGAAATCACTGGGCAGAACCAATTCAGAGCTGACTGTTCTGGCTAGAGCACTGTGTTCCATCCATCGCCCTTCACGCCGGCATCGGAATCATGGCTTCACTTGTGCCTCTACCGCCGTTTGCGCCAGCCTCTGAATCGTGGGACTCCTACCTCGCTCGGTTCGACTGCTACCTCCAAGCCAACGAGCTGACAGCAGTATCAAAGGATCGGAAGCGGGGCCTATTCCTCAGCCTCTGTGGGCCTGAGGTGTTTGAGACGGCCCGAGCGTTGGTTTCGCCTGAAGCAGTCCAGGCAACACCATGGGACACGATCCAAGAGAAGCTCCGCAACCACTACGCACCAAAGCCGTCCAAGATTGCTGCCCGCCATGCGTTCTACCACCGGAACCAGGCAGAGGGGGAGTCAATCAACAACTACACCACCGCCCTGCGACAGGCTGCAATGCACTGTGAGTTCCGAGACTTAGACGATGCCCTGATGGATCGAATCGTCTGCGGGGTCCGGGACATCCATCTGCAACGGCGCCTCCTAGCCAAGCCAGACCTCACGCTACAGAAAGCCATTGAGGAGGCTGTGGCCTCAGAAGCTGCTGAACGCTCCGCCCAGGAGATCCGCAAGTCCAGCAGCCCGCGTCTTGCTAGGGAGCCAGTTCCAGTGCATCATGAAGAGGCCAGCAGTGATGAGGCATCCTCCAGTGAAGACGATGACGTGCACCAGACAAAGCGGGAGCGCAGGAAGTTCCAACAGAAGTCCAAGGGCCAACCGGAATGTGCTGGCTGCGGAGGCAACCATTCCCGTGCCAAGTGTCGATTCAGAGACGCCATCTGTAGGAAGTGTTCCAGAAGGGGCCACATCGCTAAGGTCTGCCGATCGGCTCCGTCTGACACCCCCCCTTCATCGACTCGCAAGTCCAAGTCTTCACTCCAGTCTGCCAAGGAAAGTTGTTTCGCTCTCACCAACTGCCGCTGCCCGTCTGGAACCACGATTGGCCAAACCGACTCGCCTACGCGACGCAAGCTGAACGTCACGGTGCTCATTGAAGGAGCTCCATGTGACATGGAGATCGACACCGGGTCTGCCCTGTCCATCGTGTCATGGAGCACCATCAAAAGACTGGTACCCAGAGTGTCCAAAAGGCAACTCGACTCTCACCGCGTACACCTGAGAGACTACCAGGGAAACGACATTCCCGTGGTAGGCGTTGGCCGGTTCCGGATCGCTTTCAAGGATTTTTCGGGCCTGCTCCGGTTGGTGGTGGTCGAAGGTCAGCGGCCAAGCCTCCTAGGGCTAGACTGGTTTGATGCCCTCGGCCTGGAAGTCACCGGCATCAACTGCATCTCTAACGCAGAGACTGAGGGTCTGGTCAAAGACTTTGCCGAGGTTTTTGACGGCACCTTGGGCCAATATACAGGTACGCCCATCTCCTTTAGCCTTGATCCACAAGTCGCCCCCATCAAGCTAAAGCCACGCCGGGTTCCCTTTGCTCTCAAGGCTAAGGTGGACGAACAACTGGACAAACTGATCGCTCAAGGAGTTTTGGAGCCGGTTGACCACGCAAAGTGGGAAACCCCCATCGTCACGCCTGTCAAGCCAGACGGGTCGGTGAGAATCTGCGCTGACTACAAGTGCACGATCAACAAGGCACTTCAGCAGCACGCTTATCCGGTTCCTGTTGTCCAACACCTGCTGCATTCCCTGGGTGAGGGTAAGGTCTTCGCTAAGCTGGACCTTGCCCAAGCCTATCAACAACTGCCAGTCGATGATGCCACTGCTGAAGCCCAGACGATCGTCACCCACCGGGGGGCTTTCCGTTGCCGCCGGTTGCAGTTCGGGGTGAGTGTGGCTCCTGGCATCTTCCAAAGCCTTATGGAGCGTCTCCTGCAAGGGCTTCCGGGCGTGGTACCATATTTTGATGACGTCTTGGTGTCTGCAGACTCACACCAGCAGCTGTTCGAGCGCCTCCGTGCCGTGCTGACCAGGTTCCAGGAGGCCGGGCTCAAGGTAAAGAGGGAGAAGTGCCAGATCGCCGTTCCACAGGTAGAGTTCCTGGGCTATCTTATCGATGCCTCCGGTCTTCATCCAACCACATCCAAGATCCGCGCTATCCAGCAGGCCCCCACCCCAAAGAACAAAACGGAGTTGCAGGCATTCCTGGGGCTGCTGAACTTTTATAACATGTTCCTGCCCCACAAAGCCACAGTGGCTGAGCCTCTTCACCGACTCCTTAGCACTAAGACGCCTTGGGCCTGGGGTCATCGGGAGACGGCGGCCTTCAACGCGGTCAAGGCTCTCCTTTCTTCAGACAGTGTGCTGGTACAGTACAGTGAATCCAGGCCGCTGGTCCTTGCCTGCGACGCCTCACCTTTTGGCATCGGTGCTGTCCTTAGTCACCGTTTTCCAGATGGAAGAGAAGCACCGCTCGCCTACTTTTCCAGGACACTATCTCCGACGGAACGGAATTACAGCCAGCTCGACAAGGAGGCATTGGCACTTGTGGCTGGAGTGAAGAGGTTCCATGAATACCTCTATGGCAGGACTTTTGACCTCATCACTGACCACAAGCCACTCCTGGGCCTCCTCGCCGGTGATCGTCCAACTCCACCGGTCCTCTCACCACGCATGCTGCGATGGACTGTTTTCCTGGCTGCCTACCACTACCGGCTCATCCATCGCCCGGGGAAATCGATGGGCCATGCCGACGCCCTCAGCCGTTGCCCTCTTCCAGCATTTGTGGAAGACCCGGCTCCAGCTTCATCGCTCCTTCTGATTGAGGATCTTCCGGCAGCGCCTGTATCGGCTGCCACTGTGGCCTCCGCATCTGCCCAGGATCGCACCATCAGCCGGGTGCTCAACTGGGTGTGGAGGGGGTGGCCACAAGGGCCTTTTGCATCGGAGTTCCAGCCCTTCGCAACCAGACAACATGAACTCTCAGCTCATCGTGGCTGCCTGCTGTGGGGAGACCGCGTCGTGATTCCCCAGGGACTCCGTCAGCGCGTCCTGGAGGCTCTGCATGTTGGCCACCCGGGAATTGTCAAAATGAAGGCGTTGGCTCGGTGTTACGTCTGGTGGCCTAATATGGACGATGCCATCACTGCCTGGGTGTCCGCCTGTCAAGCGTGCCAGGAGTCGAGGCCTGCACCACCGGCAGCTAAGGGACACACCTGGGAGACGCCAAAGACACCCTGGTCGAGGGTGCACATCGATCTGGCTGGCCCCTTTCACGGCCGGACCTTTATGGTAGTGGTGGACGCCTATTCCAAATGGCTGGAGGTCGCACTGATGCCCTCCACCACTACCGAAGCTGTCATCCGGGTGCTGCGAGGCCTGTTTGCAACGCATGGGTGTCCTGATGTCCTTGTCTCTGACAACGGACCGCAGTTCACGTCAGGCACGTTTGAGCGGTATCTTTTGGGACTGGGCATCCGCCATGCCCTAACGGCACCCTTTCATCCATCCAGCAACGGGCAAGCGGAAAGAATGGTGCGCTCGACAAAAGAGGCACTGGCGCGCCTGGACCGGGGAGACTGGCATGAGCGGGTCGCCGAATACTTGTTCGTGCAACACATCACCCCTCATGCGGCCACAGGGAGGAGTCCTGCTGAACGGCTTATGGGCCGCCGCCTCAGGTCACCGCTCGACCGGCTACACCCAGACTTTGCCGTGGCTGAACCCCCAGGCTGTGCCAACGCACCACGGTCATTTGTCCCAGGAAACCAGGTCTTTGCCCGGAACTATGTGGGGGACATCCCTTGGGTGCCAGCCACAGTAGTGGGAGTCACTGGACCTCGCTCGTACCAGGTGGCACTCGAAGACGGACGCTTGTGGCGACGGCACATAGACCAGCTTAGGCGCAGGGTTGGGGGCTTGGACACTACCGAGGTGCCCCCAACTGCGTTTGTGGCTCCAGAAGAGACACGTACAGATGGCGAGGCCCCACCTACACCTCCCTCGCAAACTGCCAGCGTGGAGCCGAACCAAGCCGTTTCAGAACAGACTCAGACCACTCCACTTGCGGAGGCTCCACCCACAGCAGCGGATCCAGGGGAGTTGGTTCCAACGCCACCTAGGGTCGCACCACAGCCTCAGCGAGAACTGTGTGGCCCTCCGGACTTGGCTACCAGTTCCCGGCGGTCTGGCAGAGTTTCCAAGCGCCCAACTTATTTAAAGGACTATGTTGTTGGACAGGTATCACTGTTGGTCTAAGTATGGGAAATGTAACCGATATGCTTTTGTGCTTAATGGAACCATTACGCGTAGTGCTGTATATAAGGAAACCATTACGATTGTAACTAACGCCTTATCTCGGTGGGGAGGGGTGTTATGTAGTGTAGTTTCACCCTGGGCCAACAGGGGGATACTGTATATAGTTTTCACTCAGGTCTGTAGATAGTTTTCACTCAGGTCCGCGGCAGTTATTTTAGGCGGGAACTCTGGGCTGTTGTGGTTACAATGTTGACAGCCGGCTGCCTATAAATACAGGCCGGCTGAGCTGTCGCAGTTAGTTGTATTCCAGCTTACCATAATAAAGAGCTACTTGAAGAAATCGCTGTGCCGGCTGCTATGTCAACCCACGACTTAACATTATGCATTAAGCTTTGTGGGTAGATTCACCTTTAGTGTGTGTTATAAACTACGGGCAAACACAAGTTCTCTTGTCAGCTTGTTTAAAATATGGCCACTGAACTTTGAGATGCATATGATTCCTAACACAAGGAGACTACAGAAGTGACCTGTTCCTCAACATGCCACCATAACTTGTTTGGTGGTCTGTGGTGGCATAATTAACATAGGAATTTATTAAAGTGCTTATATACTATTTCATTTTTTTAAAAAGCAGTTCCACTTCGTAAACAGCTGCACACCAACAGCTCATCGCGCCAAACAGCTTCCCTGTGTTTGGATTTAAAATAGCTTATAGGTTGTATGAATTTGCTAAATTTGCAAGAATTGTACTCTGGAAATTCAACAGTTGCAGAGATAGTTATGTGTAGACTAAGATGTTATTTTTCTGGTTCATTCCTCATTGGTATTTTCCACATGCCCACCCAGGTTGCTTTCAAAATGTTACTGGTTTTTTTTAAAAAAAAAAATCTATTCAGGACAGTGAGCTGTTGAGGACAAAGTTGCTAAACAAGCAAACAAACAAAGATGGCTGCATGTGGCTTGTTTGTGATGGATCCCTTGACCGAATCATGGTCAAACGCCTCCAAAGTACTGCAGCTTCCTTTATCAGTACCATTGCTCTCTAAAACTACTTATTTTCTCCAGCCGGCTGATTCTTATTAGCATCCAATAACACTAATTTTCAGAATGAGCAATCGTTTTTACACCTGCAGTTTGTGGCATATTGCAGTTCACAAAATAGTACATTTGTTTTCTGGAGTGCCTTTTGAACATTTGAAAAGAAAAAAATACAGTGATGGAATCCATAGGTACCATAGATTCTTAGAGCAATTCCAGTTTGAGCAGTGCTTTCCATCAGAATTAGTGTTTTGATTTGCTATGTGTCTAGAACAGGGGTCAGCGAACTTTTTCAGCAGGGGCCCAGTCCACAGTTCCTCAGACCTTGGGGGGGGGGCGGACTATATTTTGGGGGGAAAAATAATAATGAAGGAATTCCTATGCCCCACAAATAACCCAGAGATGCATTTTAAATAAAGCCACACATTATACTCATGTAAAAACACCAGGCAGGCCCCACAAATAACCCAGAGATGCATTTTAAATAAAAGGACATATTCTACTCATGTAAAAACACACTGATTCCCGGACCGTCCGCGGGCCGGATTGAGAAGGCAATTGGGCCAGATCCGGTCCCTGGGCCTTAGTTTGCCTACCCATGTTCTAGGGTGCACACATTCCTGCCTTTTAAGTGGCCTTCAGCCTTTCCCCATCTGTTTAGCTTATAACAAGTTACAGGCAGAGAGATACTTATCAACTTCCAAGTAAAACTCCTCCATGATATGACTTGCTATGATAACCTATGAATGTCACTTTTATTTTGTAAACTTGCAAATAGCCTGGAAAAGGGATATGGCATTCTGTTTTACCATATCTGGATGGATATAGAAGCAGCTGCAGTATTTTCCCTCCAAAGCATTTGCTTTCACTGTAGCACTTTAGATCTCATTGTACTGCAATTAAATAGAGCTGTCCAAACAACGTTTTATAATACTAACGCTACCGTACCAAGTATATGAGGATAAATATGAGTCTGGCTGGTGCAGAATAAACACTGTGCTGGAAGTACTGGTGCTGTATTAGAGTAAATTCTAATATGCGGGTTCACTCTGCTATATCAGATACATAAACTGTTTTAAAGACTTGCTCCCCAGTCACAAACACATTTATAATTACACTTGAAGATTCATTCAGTTACAATTTAGCTCCTGCCTAATAAGTGTGATTATTGCTGAGGTGTTAAACTTACAATTTGGCCTTCACGAGTAACTCAGCTATACATCTGCTCTAAAGGAAGTTTTTGTGGATATATTTCATGTCGCTTCAAGTTTAATGCCACAGGTTTCTTCGCAAAACAATTATTTATTCTGCTAAATACAAATGTATTTAAAAACTTTATTGCAGGGCTTTTCATAAGCAAAACAAAGTACTGTGACGTAGAGGAAGGAATAGGTACAAGGACTTATTTTAAAACAAGACCTGAGAAAGCAGGTTTATCACTTGTTTTCTAAAGGGACAGAAGAGTGGATTACTTTAAACAAATTTAAACTTTGTGCCTGAAGACTGAACTACTTAGTTCAGTAGTTCCTAAAACACACTCTCTCCCTGCCCCCCCCCACCACCACACAAATAAGATTTTATACTCATGGTTTTATAATAGTTCCTTATGTGCTGCACTGATAGTTTCACTGAAAGGTATCCTTAAATCTTTTAAATAAAATGAGATTGGTCTACTACAGTACACTGTTCAAGGGACTGTCTTTGAAATGCCTTCATAAAAACATTTCAGCTAGTACAAATTGATCCAGCAAATGTGTTTGCTGGAGCCAGTGTATGGGAACGTGTAACTTCTTGATTGTTTTAGCTTCACTGGCTGAATAAACTCAGGGGTATATAACTCAAGGCGTTCACTTTGAAGCCTTAAAAGAGTTTGGGACAAGCATTCATAAGGGAACATGTCTTCCCATATGGTCATATGTCCATCCACAGAGGTGACATCAGAAGACGCAAAGGCACATCCCAGCTCCATCCGAGGTATAGTTGGTAGGGATGTGTGAAAAGGTATCCTATATGGTGTCCAGGTTATGAAACTTCTTCATTTTCCAGTGATTCAAAACCCAATCATGAGCAATGTTTGACAAGATAACTCAAGAATGTATTTGGCGAAAGAAAAAGTAGGACCTTTAAACCATCTCATTCTTTTCTAGATGGTGACAAGGCAGACGTCTCTGCCAACATATATCCAGACATAAATATTATTGCTGGAGCACTGAAGCTGTATTTCAGAGATCTGCCTATCCCGGTTATCACCTACGATACGTATTCCAAGTTTATAGATGCAGCAAGTAAGTACTGAGGCATTTCATTTCTTTATATAGTTTTGTCATAACCTTAACCCTACAATTCTAAAACTCCTGCAGCAGCAGGAATACTGGATTTGTTTAATTGTATTTTTTTATTGAACTTTGAAATCTGCATCTGATAAAGCTTACAAGAATCTTGTTTTGTATCACGTAGAGCTCTCCAATGCTGATGAAAGACTAGAAGCTGTCCACGAAGTGTTGATGTTACTTCCTGCAGCACACTACGAGACTCTTAGATACCTGATGATTCATCTCAAAAAGTAAGCGAATTTGCCTATAAAAGGAGGTTTGATCATCTTTCTTTCGTCATAAAGAAATATGCTTTAAAAAACATTTTAAACCATCACTGCAGAAGAAATTTCTGGCAACACAGCCAGATGGGTGGGGTATAAATAAAAAAAATATTATGAGTAATTTTAGTAGTAGTAGTAGTAGTAGTATCTTCAAATTTTAACCAGTTTTACCAATCAACAAGTCACAGCCATATAAGTAAACCAGAAATGCTAGACATGTAGAAAGATACCTGAGAGTACAATCAGTCATCATAGAGATCACAGTTAATTCAAAACTTTGTTTCCGAGTGGGTTCACACACACAAAAAGTTTAGTTTATTACTAAAAGTGTAGAAAGAAAATTGACCACCAGTTTGTCCACGGAGGCCGTTCACAAGGAACTCTCCTGCCCACGTGTAATTGTGCCCCCCATTCAGAAAATGTGAGTGTGCCGCACTGATCTCCTGTCTCCATTTACCATAAGTGCACGGTGTAACTTACCAACCTGCCAACACTGACGTCACTGCAGCTTTCTTGGACAGAGCAGTTGCACAACAAATTGACACTGCGGTGGGAGCTGGAGCCAATATGGTATAGGCCTGTGGGTGAACCAACAGAGCCATTATAGTACAGGCCCAACCTTATTCCTGCCTTGTCCTACAATAGTTCCATCTAGGCTGCCAAAAAGTCAATGTTGGAAAGGTGGCTCCAGCTCCCCGCCCCCAGGCCACTATTGCAGTGCAGAAACAACCATTATTCAGCATGTGAAGCAAACATCTACTATATATTTTGAAAAGTAGTTTCTCTGTGCCCTATGCATTTGGACACCTCTTAAGATATATGGAAAATTTGCATGACGGTTCCTAAGATCAAGGAACAGGTCTCTGTTTCTGTTTGGATATAACCTTGAATCAAGATTGCTAACTAAGCCAGGCATAGGCAAACTCGGCCCTCCAGATGTTTTTGGCCTACAACTCCCATGATCCCTAGCTAACAGGACCAGTGGTCAAGGATGGTGGGAATTGTAGTCTCAAAACATCTGGAGGGCTGAGTTTGCCTATGCCTGAACTGAGCTTTTCAAAACTGCACTTTTTTGTGTGTTCCTAGAATTCCCAATCAGTTCTGGGTATAAAGAAAGGGTGGGAAAACAGTTTAACAGAGATATCACTTTTCTTTCACCTTTAGGATTACCATGAATGAAAAAGACAATTTTATGAACGCTGAAAATTTGGGAATAGTGTTTGGACCTACTTTAATGAGACCCCCAGAAGACAGCACTCTTGCTACACTCAATGACATGCGGTACCAGAAACTCATTGTGCAAATATTGATAGAAAATGAAGATGTTTTGTTTTAAATGAACAAAGCTGTAAACTCATGGCCATCTGCCATGAAAATACAAGTTCAAAGGGAAAGCAAATTCCCATAAGAAAAAAAAGGGTAGCACATTATTTTCTGCAGTGTTGCAGATGAACACCAAAACATTTAGTTAAAAGGGTATGTCTTATAGACATATGCCTCTTTTTTAATTATTTAAGAAAGAACAAAGGTCAGAAGAAAAGCATCTTGCCTTGTATCTTTTGCCTTGCTTCCAGTGTTAACGATGTAGAAAGGTTACAGACTGTTCTACTGTAACTTATTAAAGGACACAAACTTTGTATTTTATTTAGATCATTGAAGCAAAAAGGTACTTTCAACCTGATGCTCAAAGTATTATGCTGGCACAGTTCCTATTGAAAAGAACTGGGTCAGCATAGCAGACTTGTAGGATTGTAGTTGTAAACCCTGATTCAAGGAGGGTAAACCATATATGGGGGGGGGGCAGGTTTCCCGCATCCCTTTTTGGCATGCAATGATTTCTAGATCATGGTAGTTATGTGGAAATAAGTGGCATTGGACTTGGTGGGATTTATTTTCCCCATGACAACCATAATGTAGCGCTCAAGACATGCTCTCTGTCATTTCAGTTGTGTTCCTCTTACTGAAAATAATGGCAAATTAAGTAGTAGGATTGTAACAATGTCCATGATCTGATTCCAAGCAGAGCTTCTGTACAGGCAGGGTCTTCCTGGTTTTCTTCTATGAACTGTATAATGCCCTGTATATAGAACAAATAATTTCTGTATACAGTCGTACCTTGGTTTTCGAACAGCCTAGTTCTCAAATGTTTTGGCTCCCGAACGATCAAAACCTGGAAGTGACTTTTCCGGTTTTCTAACGTTCTTTTGGAAGCCGAACGTCCAACGGGGCTTCCGATTGGCTGCAGGAACTTCCTGCAGCCAACCAGAAGCCACGCTTTGGTTTTTGAACGCTTTGGAAGTCAAACGGACTTCCGGAATGGATTCCTTTTCACTTCCGAGGTACATGGGTAACATTTCTATTCACGCAGGAGAAAAGGAAGACCCTACATTCAGGATATTTTATCTTGTCCAACATCTTAAGGATCAGGTTGTTTGTCAGTATTAGTTTTTATAGGGGTATACGATTTCTTTCTAATTAAGGCATAATTATACTATGTCTAAATGGAAACAAACATGTATTTAAAGTATATTTTTACTTTAGTTAGCTGCAGGAATGTCGTTTTATTTTAGCAAGATATAATTCAATGCGGTGCATTGATGACTTTCCGTATAGTTCTCTTAAGCATTATTGCTATGGATATTGAAAACATTTACCACTAGTGCAGTATTACCCTGACAAACCTCTTTCATTGCAAATGCTTTTAATGAGACTTCATTTCTCATGCTCATCTTAATATTATTTGGTTTGTTATGTTCTAGCAATTCATGTTCTTTGCTTATAGAGGTATACAAATACAGTATTCTATTTATCCACCCTCCTTCCAAAAAGAGGAACATCAGAGGTTTATAAACAGACACTAGCATCAACTACTACACGTAACACATTTTTTGGAGTACAGTAATGTTTAAAATAAGTGATGCCAGAATATTGGATATTACATGGCCTTGCTTAAAAGTTAGCACTTATTTAGGGTTAATTTTTTATTATTATTTCTAAAAATCAAGTTGCATTACTTTGCTTCTGTATTTATAAAAGTAAAACATCTGTAAAATTACACACTTTTCTTCAGCGTCTTCTGACAAATTTGTTAATAAAGGAAAGAGAGGTGAAGGATAGAGAATTGGTATATTACCAAATCTCATGGTGGGTATCTTTGAAAAGGTTGACCTCTCAATGCAATATAATGAAATTCATCCTAATATTAGACTTTTTTCTCACATGGAATTTTCTTATCGTGAGATTTTTTTGTACAAATATTTCAAACACAAAGGTAGCATAGTTTATTACAAAACTGAATTTGCAATACAAAAGACTCTATTGAGCTCTGCTCTTGATTTGTACAAATCCTAAGTTTCAAAAACCCCATTATGCTGTTTTCTGAATTATTTCAGGGAGCATAGGTTTCTATTAAAATTGGGGTGGGGAGTGTGCAACATGGATAATGAAGAAAGAGTAAAGACAAAAGGAGGCACATGAAATAATGTATATCAGTTATCCTTTACATAGGTCACCAAGGGCTAAGTAGACAGACCCAGGCTGCAGGCCAGATGTAAGTGAGGTCTGCTTTGCTGGTACAGTGCTAGAAGGGATTCTCCTAAGTTGTACAGATTTCAATTGTTGTAGGTTTATGTACTAAATACTGTCATAAAATGGTATGGAAATGGTTTTATTTTGTGAAGTGAAATATGCTTTGTAATTTATGATAGTGTAAATGGAAAGGGGGGAAATATCCCATTAAATGTGTTGAGTCCCTGTCTGTAATTTTCACTGCAATCGAAAACCCTTGGTTTCTTTATGCATTATTTTTTTAAAAAAATGGTTTAAAGATCTGCACATTTTTCATACAGTTTACATGCAACAAATTGTTTAAAAATGATTTTGCTGATAGAACTAATATAAAAGTAATTCAAATAATATATAGACTTATCAGGTGTTCTAAGATTCATACAACTTCCTACATTTAACCTGACCATGTTTCTCTTTTCTTTGCCTCTTTAACAAGATAGAATATACTATATTTTATGTTTTAGTTTCCTGGTATTAAGTACTACAGTCACCTACCATTATCTTACCAATTTTATACAAAACTCAAGTATGGAAGAAAGCTACATTATGTTATCCAAGAAATGTACTCCCTTTTATTCTTTCCTTTTCTTCCACATGGCTCTCAGTATGTTGAATCACATTATTCAAAGGCTTATTAAGTGCCTGAATGAGAAAACATGCTGAACTATATTACAGAAGTTTCTTCTTGTACTATTTTATGGAAACTGGTTTTGCCAGTTTGTTTTTTGAGCTCAAGATACATTGTACATAATACAATGACTACATAATACATCCCAGGGCTGTGCCCAACGTCCATACTGAAATCTGGCAATGATGTCTCAAGAGGTAAAACTGATCTCTGCCTAAAAAGCCATCATTTCACTGGTGGGCTTCTGCAATTTATTTGCGGAAGGGTACTTCGCGTGCCTTGAGCTTCACAGACATCTCTGACACACATTCCCCAGCGTCTCGTGTGCTCTCTGATGCATCTCCAAACTCTTAAGTACACTGCGAGCCTGTAGACTGAGGGCAAATGAATCAAGGCCTTTAAAGGGTTCAGTAACAGGACATAGTGTCTTCATTTCCAACTAAACTGATACTATATAAACACAAGAAGGTCTTCTGAAGTCCGTGTGAAATCTTGTGAATGTTTTGTACTGATAACTTTCAACAAGTTCAGAAAGCCCTCCAATGCTCTTTGTATCCATCATGCTAGCTCTATTGTGCCTACCTGTTCCCTGTCTCGGGTACCTAGCAAGGCTCCCTTCCTAAAACAACTTCAGAGAAGGTCAAAGAACCTGCTTATTTTATTGTACAGGCAACTCCCAATTTACATGGCAATTACATTCCACGGCACCATGTGTTTAAGTGAAATCGCATATATCTGAAACACCATTGAAAAAGCCCCCATTCCGTCTCCGCCCCTGTCCTATTCTGCCCCTTTTGTGATGTTTTTGTGATGTTTTTGGGTCACTTCGGGGTTCAGTTGCACAAATATCTGACGCACCTAAAACAATTGCTGCTTGTACACACCATCCTTAAATTCCTGAGGGCTGGAATCTGTTGTGGAGAAAGAAATTCTCAAATTATTTTGAGATTTAGGTGGCAGGATAGATAAATGGTGACCTCTCTAGAATGAGGCGAGTTTTTATAGATAAGATCCAGGTTGTGAAAATTAATGACTTGCCCAAAACTATCTAATTGTTAACTCCAATCTCAAGTGTCCTCTGTCCAAGGCCAGCATTCGACTATTGTGCAGCACTGCCTTCACACTACTGCCTGAAGCCACTGCACGTGGCCTGCTTCACTTAAAAAACACTCCTATGAATATACAGCCAGATCTTACACAAGTTTACTTGGAAATGCTCTCAACTTTGTTGAAACTTCATACAAAGAAAGCGTGCCACCTTTCAGCGGCGAAAGTAGGCTTTATTTCACCTTGATCAAAGACCCAGTTTGGCGCCACCCCACGCAATTTCAAATACATACAGTGGGGAGCCTCAATGGTGCCCCTCTGAAACCTTCACCCGGGGCAAAAAAAAACCCCAGCTAGCTCTGCACAGGAGCATCCTGGTTGCAGAAGTGCCCATTAACAGGAACCAGTGGCGTAGCGTGGGGGGTGCAGGGGGGGCCGGCCGCACCGGGCGCAACATCTGGGGTTAGGGCAAATCCATTGGTTAGGGGGCGCAAATCCACGGGTTAGGGGGCGCAAATCCATGGGTTAGGGGGCGCAAATTACTTGCCTTGCCCCGGGTGCTGACAACCCACGCTACGCCACTGACAGGAACTGCTGTGTTATCCCGTGTTTTGTGGGACATGGGGACTCTCCAGCTGCTTCAGTTTTGCTGTGATTGCTTAGGGTTGCTTGGGTGAATCAGGCACACTAGTTCAGACCCCAGAGCCCAGACAACAACCCCCTACAGACACATCCTAAGACTTATCACAGCTTGGGAACACACGGCCTAAGACGCCACACAAAATGTGGGCAACGGAAAGCACTCTTCGAAACAAGCAGGGTTTTACGAAGCCTTAAGAGAACGGTTGTGCCTGGCTCTCTCTCTCATCCCTGCTCCTAGCCAAATGGTCACATGGGCACCAAGACTGCCAGAAGCGGGGAGAACTCATGACAGCATTACAAGGAAATCAGCGCAGGGCTGAGGAAGAGAGCCAAGTTGTGTGCTGCCGCCATGGCCAGCTTCCAAAAGAGATCAAAGTTGTGCCCTGTAACTCCCTTTGCCTCTTGATTTATACCGTGCTACTACTACTACTCCTTCTTCCCAGGCCAATCGTTGTCCAGCTGCCCCTGCGAGAGGGACCAATCCCGTTTAGGGAGGAGGAGAAGGGGCGGGGTCGCTTCTCGAGGGCTCACCTGCACCTGCTTCCTTGTTGCCTGAGCATCAGGTGCACCGCTCAGACCTTTCGAGGAAAGTGAGTCGGGCGGGTGGGATTCCCTCGCCACGAAAAGCGCGCGCGCGAGAGAGAGAGCTGGCTCCCTTACAGCGCGGCCGCTCTTTCCCAAGCGCCCCCCCCCCAGCTGCTCGCGGTCGTCCCTAGAGACGGCTAGCTGAAAGGCCGGCTTCCGACGGCGGATTGTTCTTCACCTGCGAAAGTTGGCGCTCCCTTTTGGAGCGGGCGGGCGCCGGAAGGAGGCCAAGTTCCCTGGCTCGCTCTCTCGCTCGCTCTCAAGAGTCAGCCTGTTGCTGCGGCAGCGAGTAGTTCCCTCAGAGAAGGAAGCCCAGGTAACGACGCTCTCGGCGTGAGGATGGACTGACTCCCTCCAGCACCGCGCCTGCTCTCAGGAGGAAGAAGAAGAAGAGACGCTCCTCCGGCGCACAGGTGAGAGCCCACGAGGACGCGCCTTCGCTTGCTTTCTCCTCAGCCGGCAGGTGCTCTCTTCAACAGGTGCCCGGCAAGAGCCCTCTCCGCCTGCGTCTCGCGCGCTCCCGACCTGGAGGGGGGGGTGAGGGGGGAATCTGCCCAGAGGCGCCCACCTGTCGCGCAGGCTAAGGGCGCGCGCGCTGCTCACCTTGCATGCAGCATGAAAGGCAAGGGGGAGGGGCGCGCCTGAGAGGCGGGCGGGCGGGAGGGGGGCTTCCTCAGCCTGGTCAGGGGGAGGGGGAGCAGCAGGCAAAAGATGCTGCGTGGGCGGGCGCGGAGCTGGGCTGCCACCTCCTTCTTGTCAGCTGCCCTAAGTGTGGACGCAAGGGCGCTTCAGCGTGGCTGATGCGGAGCAATTGGGGGTTTTCTTGCCTTCGCACGGTGAGTTGAGTGGGACTTATTCCCCAAGAAGTGTGCATGGGATTCTATCTATCTATCTATCTATCTGTCTATCTGCCTATCTGCCTATCTGGTTTATAGATTTATTACAGTGGTACCTCAGGTTACATACGCTTCAGGTTAGAGACTCTGCTAACCCAGAAATAGTGCTTCAGGTTAAGAACTTTGCTTCAGGATGAGAACAGAAATTGTGCTGCAGCGGCGCGGCAGCAGCAGGAGGCTCCATTAGCTAAAGTGGTGCTTCAGGTTAAGAACAGTTTCAGGTTAAGTACGGACCTCCAGAACGAATTAAGTACTTAACCCGAGGTACCACTGTACTATTTACGGATTTATTACCTTTATCTTCCAAGGATCTCAAGGTGGTGTACATGGTTCTCCCTCCTCATTTCATCCTCACAACAGCCCTGTGAGGTAGGTGAGGCTAAGGGATGGTGACTGGCCCCAGGGTCACCCAGTGAGCTTCATGGCTGAGTGGGGATTTGAACTCTGGCCTCCCAAGTGATAGTCCAGCACTCTTAATTTATTCCTGCATTGCAGGGGGTTGGACTAGATGACCCCTTGGGTCCCTTGCAGCCCTACGGTTCTACGTTTCAATCCTAAAGACACGTGCCGTGAACTAAGAGTGCCGTCCTGTACATGTTTGCTCTGAGGAAAGCCCCGTTGATTTCAGTGGGACTTGTTGCTAGCTAAGTGTGTACAAGATGGCAGTCCAAGGCTGCAATCCTGGGTCATGTACTTGGCGGCAAGCCCCACTGACCCCATCTGGGCTTTCTTCTGATTAAAGGTGCATGGGGTCAATTTTTATAATCCCGCTGAATGAACTTAACAGCAACTATGTCTGAGGGTCCCGGTACACTACTGTAATCTCTGAAGAGCTCTGAAATGGAGGGTTGCTATTTACACATGCACACACCCCTTCCCTCCCTCTCTGCATAATAGGCAGAAATCCAACAGGCTTTGTTTTTCCTCCAGTAGCTCTGGATTAAGCAACCGGTAAAGGACAATCCTAAAGAAGCATGTGTATAGCGGGCGATGCAGTTTGCCGGATTATAGCTCTACTATAAAAAAATTCCCCAGTTTCACCCCACCTTTCAAATTAGCAAAATGTTGACAGCTAAGGGTTATCTAGCCATAAAAAATAACCCCAGTTATAAAGTGCATTTTTCTGCTGTGTCCTCAGTTGCACCTGCTGAGTTGTTTCCTTGCACAGTACAGGTGCAACTTGGGCCCTCTAGCTATGACTTGCAACAAGCTTAATTAACAAACGCAACAAAGAGCTGCTACCTCAGTATCCAAGTCCTGCTGGAAAGGGGGCCGCCACTATTAGATAAATGTTGCAATTAACCGTTCCAAAAAATAAAATAAAAAAAGCTTAGTTTATCACTTTTACCTGCTGTTCGGAGGAACCTGCCTCATTCTGGTCTTTGCAGCAATTCAGTGAGTTGCATTCTGCTCGATGGATTCTATGTGTACAAAATATTACACGCTGTGGGTGAAATCCTGGCCCCAGTGCAGCCAGTATGAATGTTCCCTCATTCAAGAGAGCAAGAATGTTTTTTGCTTCACAAGCAAGCAGGAAACATCTCAGAAATGAAAGCATGTTGAAGATTTAGGAGAGAGTTTCTAAAGTGCCTGGCCCTACCTGTCATGATCATCAGTTTATGATGACAAACCATAGCACTGTTTGTGTGATAAGGCTGTGCAAAATCTGAAAGCTCCCTTGTAGGAAGGAGCAAGGTTTGCCTTCCATTTCCTTATCAAGCTGAAGGAACAACACCAGCAAACTTTTACAGAAACATTTATAGTTGGCTTGTGCAGCTGCATGGAGAAGAACCACTTATGTAGTGACTCAGCCAATGTGTGCACAAAATAGAAAACCAGGGAATTAAGTTTGCAGAACGGAAGGGGCATGCATGTGACTGTCTCCTCCTAGCAGTTCAACTCCCAGGGTGAAGTAGTCCTAGGAAATTAATCCTCAGTCTCCATGTCACAGAGCCATGATAGCTAAATTGAACCTCCATGTTCAGAGACAGTGTACTATTATTTATTAACATCTCACCCTTTGTCATAAGATACCCCCAGGGTGGGTATATATAAGTCTGACTTCCAGGTCCTGGGAGGGGGGAAAAAGGAGTAGCCATTACTATTGTGATTTGTTTGAATATTTCCTTAAGGTATCTGCCTGTCAATTATTGGAACTAGATGGACAACTGCATTTAAGTCTGATCAGACAGTAGGCCACAATTAGGGAGCAAATGAGACCTACAGTACATGTATCTGGTGTCTGTATGCCTTCAAGGAATGCATTAAAAAGAAATTCCAAAAGTGCAGAAAAATGAGCTATATTTGTGCCATGTGTTCAAAGGGAATGGAGGAAAGAAGAAACAATCCCAACTGAGACAAAACACTGATAATTGGGTATATCTGATTATGCAGATATGCTGAAACTAGAATATAGAATACATTTTTAATTCTGTCTCTTCTACTTTGAATCGAATTTTGCTCTGCACGAGATGGCTAGGTCTCAACTGGCTCACAATCCATCCTTATCCATGTTTACTTGGAAGTTGGGGTACTGAGTTCAGTGAAACTTATGCCGAACTGCAGTTTTCTGCTCACTCAGTTTGGGTGGTTTTGGCCTAAGACCAAATCGTTTTGTTCCCATTGTTTGCTGTGAACAACATACCAATGCAAAATTCACAAACCTGAAAAGTTAACATTTCAATCCCACTTAGCAAATTTTTGTAAGCTGATGGTGCTGAACTTTGCTGCAAATGTTCAACTATAGCTGGACTTGTCAGGAGGTACTGCTGGATCAGAAACCCAGTGTACTGGAAATACCACAAGTCTCTGTTTAAATCTTCAAACCAAAGAAGCTTTTGATGAATTGTGCTAAGCAACTGAATTCTTGGTTGCTTAGCCAGTCTTGGAAAGGTTTAACTACTGCTAATGACTTCATTAGTACAAAAGAAGGTTATGCAGTGTGGAAAGGTTTTAACTCTCCAAAGCATTCTAGATGAATTAAAGTTTGCATAGTTTCCTCACCAATGTGCTTAGGAATGGACACAGTTCCTATCCTATGAAATCTATCAACAGTGGCAGGTTGAGAACAGCTGAGTCCCGCTCAATCCTCTGCCTTTATCTGGGAGTGAGTCCCATTAAATTCAATGGAACTTACTTGTGAGTAGACATGCGTAGGCTACTGCTGTTAGAAGCAAAGATGATAAGACACTGACAAATTGTCTTAATGCAAAACGTTGCCCAGTTCTGTGGACATTAGACCTCTTGATTTTCAAGACTATTAGCTTGCACTTTGCCATTAATAAACTGCAACCCTAAGCTTTGCCAGTGAACATTAGACCAAGAAGCAGAGTTCAAAAACATCGTAAGCAAGACATAAGAAGTGGCCTACTGAGCGAGACCAAAGGACCATCTAGTCCCGCATCCTATTTTCAGAATGGCCAATTAGATGCCTATGGGGAACTCAAACGCAGGACACAAGCTTAACAGCATTTGTGGTACCCAGCACACATTTGTGGTACACACATCCTCAATGAGCCTTTGAGAGCCTTATCCTCCGTTATTTGTCGAATTCCCTTCTAAAACCATCCAAGTTTGTGGCCATTACTACATATAGTAGTAGAGAATTACAATAAGCCCGCAACTTATGTGCATTTAATTTGGGCACCTTCAGCTTTAGGTAAAGGTAAAGGCACCCCTGACCATTAGGTCCAGTTGTGACCGACTCTGGGGCTGCAGCGCTCATCTCGCTTTATTGGCTGAGGGAGCCGGCGTATAGCTTCCAGGTCATGTGGCCAGCATGACTAAGAACCAGAGCAGCACACGGAAATGCCATTTACCTTCCCGCCGGAGCGGTACCTATTTAACTACTTGCATTTTGATGTGCTTTCGAACTGCTAGGTTGGCAGGAGCTGGGACCGAGCAACGGGAGCTCACCCCATCGCGGGGATTCGAACCGCCGATCTTCTGATCGGCAAGCCCTAGGCTCTGTGGTTTAACCCACAGCGCCAACCGCGTCCCTCAGCTTTATGTACTTCACAATAAATAAATCTAAGGGAACGGAAAGGGGGTGGACATCCAGGAAAAAAGACATTGGTAATATCACCTGCCATTGCACCCAAAGTGCTTTGACTGTGTGTGATTCTGGCTTTAGGCACAATCCCCAAAACATAACACCCACTTAAGTTACAGGCTTACTATACACTATTTAGCTATGTACTGTGTGATGCATTTATTTTGCCCATCTTGAATCTTCCAAGAGCTTCATTGCATGACCCCAGGCTCTTGTTCAGGAACAGATAACTTGGAGCCTGCAAGCAATACATAACTGTCATTTTAAAAATAATAATTAAATGACCATTCCTAAGGATCCATGTAGAAAGGTTTCCTAAATTTCTAAAAGTAAAAAATTATACACACGTGCACACATATTCTTGTATGGACCACTCCTTCAAGACCCCCTGTTGTGATTATGGAATGCCAGAAGGTACTTGTGATATCTCCAAGTGTGTTTTTTTAAAGGCCACACCCACTTATACACTTTGGCCACACCCACTTTTGCATGCAATACGCAGAAGGTTGGCCATCGGTAAGTGCAGCCATTGGGCTGGAAAAAATGCTTGCTGCCCCTTTTCTAGTATGAGGAGGGAGAAAATACCTCTCTTTTTAACATCTCTATCCTGTCTCCCCTTACTCCCCCCACCCCTAAACTTTAAAGTCCCAAATGTAGATTTTCTCATAGGGAAGTGGGTCCAGTCCCTTGATCATTTGAGATGCACCTTTTCTGCACTTCTTCCAGCTCTGGAATATTCCCTTTGAGGTATGACATCCAGAACTATACAAAGCATTTCAAGTGTTATCACGCCATAGATTTGTACAACTGAGTTAGGCAGTTTCATTTTCAATTCCCTTCCTAATGATCTTAGTAGACATGGGTTTTGATTTTTTTCACAGCTGCACACATGGAGTTGACATTTTCACTGACCTATTAATTATGATTCCTAAGATCTCTTTTCCAGATAGTCACTGTCAGATCAGACACCACTGGCATATATGAAGTTTGGGGTGTTGTTGTTGTTTCTGACCCAATGTGCATCACTTTATATTTGCTTCCATTGAGTCATATTTGGCATTTTAATGCCTATTCTCCCAATTCGGGAGAGTTTTGTTTGCAACTCTTCTCAAACTCTTTTTGTTTTAGCTATCCTCAACAGTTGTGTGCTATCAGCAGACTTGGATGTCTCAGTACGTTCTCCTAACTTCATATCATTTACAGATCCTTGAGGGATTCCACTTCTTACATCCCTCCCATTCTCCCGTTCTCCTAACTTCATATCATTTACAGATCCTTGAGGGATTCCACTTCTTACATCCCTCCCATTTGAGAACAGTCCATTCATTCCAACTCTCTGCTTCCTGTTCTGGGACCAGTTACTGATCCATGACCTGTCTCCTTATTCCATGACTTCTTTTTTTTTTTTAAATAATTTTTATTAATTTTCCAACACAAAAAAGACAAAGACAAGAACATGTATAGTTTCAAAAAATCCTACTTTCTTAACCTTGTTCCTTGACTTCCCCCCACCCCCCTTCATGCATCCCAATTCCCATAATTGTGTCAGCAAATTATTATTTCTCCTCTTTACCATCTTAATATTACATCTTTTATGAAAAAATAAGTTATTTTTCCTAAGTTGGACTCAAATTCCCTTCCATCGATTTCCCATTTTGTATTAGATAAAAGTCATATTAACTAAACCCAAAAGTCATAAATGTTTTTAAAGTTCTATTCTTCCCTCCCTCCCATCCCCGGTTTTCGTCCCTTCCCCAATACATGTCCAAAATAACCATTCTAGCCTGGATTCCTCACGTCCGAGGCTTTCAAGTTTCTTTCAGTCCCTCTCCGCCGGTCTTGTTGGTAGTCCTTTATGTTGGTCGTCGAATCTCGAAGGAGTTCTATCCCCATCAAACCAGGTTCTCTTCCCACAAGGATATTTAGGAACAACTGCTGCAAAAGTTCCACAGGCCATGCATCTTCAGAGTCAGAGTGGGGGCCCCAATCAAATTTCTTCTTTGTTTTAAATACCTGTATTCCATATACTCCAGGGGCCTCCTCCTTCGTCTTTTGCATCTTTCGCAGATTTGTAATCAATGTGATCCCAAAGTCTCCTTGCTTGTACTCCACTAGTGTAAACTTCTGGTTGGTACTTTCCATCTTTGCTTTCTCTTTTCCTTGTTTAGTCTCCTCCACTTCTTGAGATATCATTTCTAATCCAGCTGCAGATTCTTTCTCACTCAAGTCCTCAATACATTCAGCAGAGCTGCTTATTCCAGAGGTCAAGGTCATGAGTTGTTTATTCATAGCCAGACTCTGCTCTTGTAAGATTCCCACCAAGTAAAACATTCTTTCGATTTCCGCTAGTAACTTTCCATCCGCAGCCATTGTAATATCACAGAATTCCCCCTAGAGGGAATCTGGTTACTTAATAATCTTTCTCCAACAAACCTCTGACTCGTTATTGTTTCTTTGTTTCCAACGATTTTAGTTCAATTGTAACTCATTTTAATCCAGAGGGATCTTAAATAACAGTTTTTTCAGCTTTAAATTGTCCGTTTGACAGCTTTTGACAGCTGTCAAACTCCGTATTCCTCTTCCATACGCTCAAACACAGGACACTCCCGGGCCCGGGAGGGGGGTTGTACACAGCAAAAAGAAAGCTTCTAAGATTCCACTCTTTCACTCCAGCTCAAAATTTCTTTTTACCAAATCTTGGAAGTTAATGTCTTTTTTAACTCACCCCGCAAAGGGTAGGCTCTCCAGCTTAGTTCTTCTATTGTTGCTTTAGATCGTCTGCAATGGGGGGGGGGGTGCGGACTTCCCTTTAACACACACCCCGGTCGTACCGAATTCAGAAATAAATATTTTAAAGTCCCAATTCCACTTTACTCACGGGTTGCTTCTTTTCCAGCCGAATTCAGGGAAAAAAGTCAGCGCTTTTCAGCCATGGCACGCGGCTTCGCTCCACTGGGGTAGCGGTCTACTCTCAGCACCGCGCCGCTCTCCGTACCCTCTCCGAAGCCTTTAAAAAGGCTCTTCGTGGGTCAGAGGGGGCGTTTAAGGTGCCCACCGAGTCACCAGGTCCGCAGGCATCCGCGCCTGCAGTTTTTGAGGGTCTCCGCGTCGCCGTCGCGGCAGGACCCGTCTCCAGCGGAGCCGATTCCCTCCGGAGCTCGGAGGGAATCCGCCATTAGCTGTCCGCGCTAACCCGGAAGTCCCTTATTCCATGACTTCTAGTTTGCTCGGGAGTCTTTGGCGAGGGACTTTATTGAAAGTTTTTTGAAATTTAAGTACATAATGTCTACTGAATCCCGCCTATATTCTCAATTCAGACATCTCAGAAATGCAGTCGCCCTCCCACTGGTCCTTTGGACACTTTTTGAAAACTTATTTACCCTGGAGTTGGTTGAGAACATTGAGAATTCACTCTTCCTCACTGGACCGTATATAATTTTGATATTTTATGGCTGCTTCTGGTTTTAAGTTATTGTTGTGGCCCACTCTGGGATTCTTAATAAGAAGCAGGCCAAAAGTCTTCAAATAACTGTTTGTTGACACTCTCAAAGAACTGTGAGATGACTTGAAGCAGCAATGCTGGTGGTTCTTCTGTATATAATATAAATAAAATAAATAATAAAATACATATTTATTAGCAGGAGATTCGGCTAGTGTGATGACGTTGTTTTTCACAAGCTTGTTTCTTCAGGGTTTTTATTTATTAACTCTCCTTCTGAGCAGAAAACAGGAGTGCTTTTCTTCCTTTTGGCATCCTGCATGAGGGCTGCTGCAAAGTGTATTACCTGGTTGGCTCTGCATCCTAGCACATTTAGGGGTGCTACATATTTGGAAAACTGTTTTATGTGTTTTTGTTTTGTTTTGTTAATAGGTTAACAAGGAAATGATTATAAATCTTCACTTCATACTATTGGATTGAAAGGGCTGGGGTACCTGGGAGCCCAAAAGTAACTGGAGGGCCATATCAGTCCCCACCAGGGCCAGATACACTCCAATATCACCAGGAGGGCCCAGCCCCCACATTCCTAACATAGTGCTTTCATCAGCCCCATTATGCCCCCAAGCTGGGCACTTCCTATTTATGCAGTGGTATCTCTGTGGCGCTGTGATTTAAACCACAGAGCCTAGGACCTGCCGATCGGAAGGTTAGCGGTTCGAATCCCTACGACGGGATGAGCTCCCGTTGCTTGGTTCCCTGCTCCTGCCAACCTAGCAGTTCGAAAGCACACCAGTGCAAGTAGATAAATAGGTACCGCTCTGGCGGGAAGGTAAACTGCGTTTCTGTGCGCTGCTCTGATTTCGCCAGAAGCAGCTTAGTCATGCTGGCCACATGACCTGGAAGCTGTACGCTGGCTCCCTCGGCCAATAAAGCGAGATGAGCGCCGCAACCCCATAGTCGGTCACGACTGGACCTAATGGTCAGGGGTCCCTTTACCGTTACCTATCTCCCTCTTGTTTGGAGGGGGAGTAGAATTATAGAACTGGAGAGTTTGAAGGGACCACAAGGATCATCTAGTCCACCTCCTTGCAGTGCAGGCATCTTTCGCCCACAACCCTGAGATTAAGAGTCTCAGGCTCAACAAAGGAGCTATCCTTCAGGACCTCTATGAGCCACAGCCTTTTGGCACAGCCTTTGGGTCGGAAAGGAAAGCCCAGGCCTCAAGAAAGCCCTGGCGTCACAATTTGGAAGCGAGTAAATAATAAAATAAAATAAGATGGAAGTGGAGTCTCTGCGTATGGTTACGATGACCCTCTTAGACAGTTCTTCCAACGGAGCCTACTAATCGCGCTCCGTGCGTCCGATGTCTCCCGCACCCCCTTAAATGTCTCCTCCCTACCGCGGACCCCAAGTCGGTGAGGGTTCCAGTTCCTGCTGCTAAACAACTAAACAAGCCTCCCTCCTCTCTGTCCTCCCCTCCAGGCCACCGGCCCCGAGTGCAGCGCATCGCCCAGGACCCCCTGACCGGGAAGAGGCGCGCGGGAGCCTCCTGCCCTCCGGAAGATGGCCGAGAGCGCCGGCACGGCCGCCCCCTCGACGGGGCCCGCGGCCAAAGGCGGCTCCTCGGGCGCCTGGTGGAAATCGCTGACCAGCAGGAAAAAGCCCAAGGAATCGCCAGCGGCTGCGGCTCCGGTCGCGTGGCCTCCTCGGCAGGTGCCTGAGCCCTCGGAGATGCTCCCCGCCGCGTCCAGCCCCTCGGACTCTCAAGAGAACCAGCAGCCCAACTCGGGCAGCCGCCGGAACCTTAAGATCTCCCGCTCGGGCCGCTTCAAGGAGAAGCGGAAAGTGCGCGCCACGCTGCTGGCGGACAGTCCCCAGCAGCTATTCGAAGGGGCGCCGGGAGCCGCAGCCGGGAACCCCGCCCCGGCGCGCCCCGCCGAAGAGACGCCGTGCCAGTGACCACGCCTCCCCGCCGGCCCCTGCCAGGCCTAGAGGAGGAGCTGCCTGTCTGATTTTGGGGAAAGGCGGCCTGGTTGCCGCCTCGTCTCCGGCCCAGGGGAGGAGCGTGTGTGCGCGCGCTCTGTTGCGCTTTTGGGGAACTGTGGCCTCGAGGATCTTGCGCGCGAGTTTGCAAAGCCTCTTTCGCCCTCGCCGAGGGGACAGATGATGGCGAGGCGACCACGGGGGTCTCCTGTTTCACGGGGAGGGCCGCAGATCTCTGGAACAATAGGAATATGCAATAAGGAAGAGACCCGCTGAAGCTCAGCTGCCCTTTGCGGTCATGAAATTAAAGTGTGTTCAGCGGGCAGTGTCCCCAACGAAATAGTCATTGTGGTTTATTTCACGCCCACCACCACTTTTTACAGAAAACCGCCAGTGCGCAATATGCTGCTGTATAGAATGATGATGATGATGGAGAATAAAAATTCTAGCGTGCAGCCCCAACTTAGTCCTATGTTCAGGTATTGCAGTAGATGTCCCCAATCGGAAACAAACACACAAACATGGTAAAATAGCCCACTGGTGACCTATATCAATGTGCAGCATTGATAAAACTTACTGCTGCTCTGGGTCAAATGAAGATGTCTTGCTGTTGCCCAAACAACACTTGAGGTCCATTAAGCAAGTACAGTACAGTAATGTCAGTTTTCCCTGAAGATGCCAGGAGGGACGAGTTGGAGTGGCAGAGAGACCTGGTGCTGATAAAGTCAAGTGGAACATCTGTATATATATTTTTAAAAGGCACACCAAAATGCTGAGGTTTAAAATAAGTAGAGGGGGTTCCTGGGCGCCTTGTTTATGAGATTTCAGAACACATGTTAAAAACCTGTTTTTGAAGGTGACCTGCAATAGAGACCCCAGTTGTCTGCTCTTGCAAGTCACTGTCATGCAAATGGATTCAGAATTCCAATCTCCTGCACTAGCTGCTCCTGAGAAACAAAATTAAAAACGGAAATGTGGATTTTCATAATTTTATCCATTTTCAGCTGCTCCTGCAATAAAAGAGGCCATGCTGTAATTTTTTACAAAGAACTAATTACTACAGTCCCAAATGAATAACTTCATTTTAATAAAAAGACACAGGGAAAAAACAACCTATGGTTCACTTCCTTTATGCCAAGGAGGCTTTTTGTTAGTCTAGTATGCTTTTAATAGCCTCCTTTTGGGAAGAGAGGGAGTTGGAAATGTTCCATCTTATCTTATTTCAAGGCCAAAACCTTCTAGTGGCACCTGGAGATTCTTAACAATTATATTCCTGTTGGTAGAGATGTCCGTAAACGAATCTGTCTGCTATTCAGTGGATTATAAAGGGAAGGGAGGGAGATTATAGTTGGGGAAGTACTACACTTCTTGCTCCCAAATTTATTCTCTACAAAGAAGCAGAAAAAGGAAACAACATTTCATTTTGTTTCTGGTAATTAGAAGCAGCTGCTTCAACTGGAAGGCAATAAGGGAGTAATATTTGTCATTCTCGTTGTTAAGAGACGAACATGATACATTTTAGTACTATGGTTCTCAAGTAACCGATACCTCCTCTGGAGAAGCTGAACAAAAGGGACCCAGCCTAAATACCTCTGGGTAAAAGGACTGCTGGAGGAGAACAGAGCTGGGCTGTCTGCTCAATGCAGTGCTAATAACCCTGCAGCTCGAAATCCCCCAATGCCTCCTGGTGCCAGACCATAGGAGACTGACAGAAATATCTCCAGGAGTTTCTCTAAGTTCAGATGGAAAGATATAAGTTATCTGTAGGATAGGAAAGTGTGTGGCTTTGAGATTTTGGTAGAAAAAAATATATGCTTGAAATTTTATTTGGTAGAGCACTCTACTGGCACTGTGATCTAAACCACTGAGCTTCTTGGGCTTGCCAATCAGAAAGTCGGCGGTTCAAATCCCCGCGACGGAGTGAGCTCCCATTGCTCTGCCCCAGCTCCTGCCAACCTAGCAGTTCGAAAGCACCCCAGTGCTAGTAGATAAATAGGTACCACTGCAGCGGGAAGGTAAACAGCATTTCTGTGCACTCTGGTTTCCATCCTGGTGTTCCGTTGTGCCAGAAGTGGTTTAGTCATGGTGGCCACATGATCAGGAAAGCTGTCTGTGGACAAACACCTGAAAAGCCTGAAAGCAAGATGAGTGCCACAACCCCATAGTCGTCTTTGACTGTACCTATCCAGGGGTCCTTTACCTTTTGTTTTTACCTTTTATGTGAACTACATATTAACTGGACACCTGCAATTTAAAATTTGGAGACCTAACTTTTTTTAAAAAAGTAAGACCCACTTTCTGTTTCACAGCTGTAATGTGGCTGCTTTCAAATAATTCTTGCTGTGTCAAAGCTTGCCACAGAACTGTTACAGGTGTGCTAGTGTGTTGGAAAGTCTCCGTGCCAGACATGCTGCCGTGGAGACAATAGCACAAATCCTCATATGTTTTCTGGCATTGCCTTGGATGTGTTTGGAGGAAGCAGATGTGCTTTTTGTAGCCCTGTGTCTCATAGGTTTCAATTCAACATGCTTCTCAATACACACCCTTGGTAATTCTTCATGAAGGCTCCAGCCAGCCTGTATATAGAACAGGAGTGAGGAACCTTTCTCAGCCTAAGGGCCGTATTTCCTTTTGTGGAACCTTCCAGGGGCCACACACCAGTGAAGGTTGTGCCGTGCCATGATTCCATACATACTTATCACTGAACTCAGTGGGACTTATTTCTGACTGCTCTGTTAGCTCTCTCCCTTTTAAGTCGGGGGTAAAAAATCATTTTTCAGCAGCAGGAAAACAAAAGCACCATTTAATATAAGTTGTGATACCCACTCTCCCATAGTATTTTAGTTCATTATTTTAAAATGTCAGAAATATCCATCCTTGGAGACTCTAGAGATGCCTTTTCGATCCTGTTAATCCAATTTGGGCAGTAATGCAAATGCTATCCAGTCCTTTGTTGTAAATGCTGTCTTAAAGGATTCTCCTATCTTCTCACCCCCTCTCTTTTATTTTTATTTTTACATATTAAAAGGGGGGAAAGAGAACGGTGGCTATTTATTACATTTCATCCTTTGGAAAATTAAACTCTAAATAAGAAGTGTCCCTAGAAAATAACCAGTTCTAATTCTTTCAAAGAAAGAAGCTTCTGATATAAGCAAAACCACCAGCATACGATAAGAAGAAAAAGAAAAAGTCTCGCTGGCACCATTCCTAGTGCAATTGCCCAAAGGGAGACAGGATTCAGTTTGAGCTGAGGCTCAAGTTGCTGTCCACAGCTGCTCCGAAGGATAGGGCATCCTTAAACACTTGCAATCTAACCCAAATAACAAGCTGCATAGCCAGCTCTTCTGAAGCCGTTGCAGGTGGGTTTGTCAGCGACCGTGCAAATGCAGGTAAGGCGTGATGCTTGTGAATGAATTTGTATACAGCCATTTTAATGAATCAATTGGTGTTCAGCTCTTCGTTAATATATTGAAAGCTGACAGATGCCACCGCCCCGCCCCCGGCCTCCTTTGGAGGAAGTTGTATTTCCAACACAACTAGAAGCGAACATCACTAAGGACTGAGGTGTGGTGTAAAGCTCTAAACAAATGAGAGTGGTCAATAACACTGAGCAAAGGATTTGGCATTTAAATCCTTTATTTATCTTCTCATAAAGTTATGCAACAGGAGGAAATTAGTGGAACAAAAAAACACACATTTGTCGTAGGTGGAATGTAGACTTTAAGCCCCTGTTCGCAACACATTTTCTGTACAAACCAGGCTTTTGTGTGTCTAAGGGTCTTTCTGTTTGTCTGACTGACTGTTAAGCACACACAATGCTGCCGATATTGTGACATAAGACGTTGTTTCTGAATGTTTCTCAGAAGCCAAACTTTTGCTTGCTATGACTCACTCCCCCCTTGGCCATCTGCGAACACACCCTTTCGCCAATCTCGATCTGTTCCTTCACCAGAAAGAAAACCTCCCTGTTGCCCAAATAAACCACAGCAGCTCCTAGTTCTCTCTGCTTCCATTGAGTACTTAACAATGCATGAAAATGTACCAGCTTAACCAGCAAGCTTTTAAAGAAACAAGTTGCTGAAATTCTGTCCGGTAACTTTCAGGGGGTACTGGCTTGATTATGCCTAACTACCCGTCATGCTAGGAACTGGTGCAGTGTTTCTGTGAGAAACAGAAAATACCTAGGGCAGGGGTGGGGCATCTTTTTCAGGCTAAGCACCTTATTCCTTTAAAGAAACAAAACAGCTCAGTCTTAGTGATCACAGCAAGCCTTCTCAGTAGGTCTTGCCCCAATGAGGCCGTTGCGAAGACTGAAGGTCTCCGCCTTCCCACTGCTCTTTAAGGCTCCTGCCCTAGTTCCTTTCCCAGCACCCTAAGGCTCTGTCATCTTGTCTCTTGTTGCTCCACCCTCTTTGTTTCTCTGCATGTTCTGGGAGACCATCGGGGAAGGGAATTGGTTGCAGCTGGAGGCGGAGACTCCCTGGCTTCTTCCGCAGCTTGTCTCACCTTTGTCACCTGGCTCCCCTCTTCTCCTGCATTTGAGTCTGGACTGCTCTCTGCCACAGCCTCTTCCTGCTCACTAAGCCCTGTTGCCTCTTCAGCTTCTGACACTTCCTCCTCCCAGTTTTTCCCCTCTGATCATGCATCGTCACCCCACCACCAATCCCCTGGCTCTGAGCTTTCTTCCCTTGGGGGTTCCCCCACCTGGTGCCTCCCACCACTCTTCTGCATCCAGCCAGTCCATGACACTTGGGAAGGGATGCATTTGGTTTCCCATTCCTGATTTAGGGCCCAGCAATTATTCTCCTAGATAGGAATTTCAGCGGTGAAAAACCAGGCACCGTTGATGCAGCAGAACATGTTCAGCTGGAAGTCAGTGTAACCCACTATGCAAGCCTGCAATGGTCCTCCTTTAAGCCACGAGGAGGGAGACAGCTGTCCTGTCCTGGCTCAAATCCCTGAACTTCATACACATGACAGCGTTAGAATTAAAATGGTTATGGGCGTGCCCTTGCAAACATACATCAATTTTGCCTTGAATAAGGAAGCCAGTTCAGACTGATGCTTTGATATGAAACACATCATGTGATGTTGGGTAAAACACATGCAGTCAGCCTGATCTAGGTCAAAAGACTAAACGTTCTCTGAGCTGCCAGATGGAAATCAGAGGGAATTCAATTGTGTGCTATAACCTTCTCATAGGTCTGTATGAGAGCAAATGGTGGATCACTTGTTGGAAACATATGTGCAAAGCATGCTACATAATACCCAGTTTCCATATGTAAAGAGCTTTTCTGGTGGTGCATTTTCAAAGAAGGAATCCCTCCTCCTAATTTGGCAGAGATTCCAGTTCACATTGTGAAGCCAGCACAGTAGTATAGCAATCAACATTATTTACATCATAATTCAATGGACATTTGTTATGTGGTTAATAAAGATACTTTAATACAAAATGTACTTGAGTGA